ACAACAGGAAAGAGAGTACTTAAATCTAGTCTAGTATACTTCCAGTAGACAACAGGAAAGAGAGTAATTAAAATCAAGTCTAGTATACTTCCAGTATACAACAGGAAAGAGAGTACTTAAATCTAGTCTAGTATACTTCCAGTAGACAACAGGAAAGGGAGTACCCAAATCCTTGTTAGTATATTATCAATAGACAGGGAAGGAAGTACTTAAATCCTTGTTAGTATATTATCAATAGACAACAGGGAAGGAAGTACTTAAATCTAGTCTAGTATACTTCCAGTATACAACAGGAAAGGGAGTACTTAAATCTAGTCTAGTATACTTCCAGTATACAACAGGGAAGGGAATACTTAAATCTAGTCTAGTATACTTCCAGTATACAACAGGGGAGGGAGTACTTAAATCTAGTCTAGTATACTTCCAGTAGACAACAGGAAAGGGAGTTCCCAAATCCTTGTTAGTATATTATCAATAGACAACAGGGAAGGAAGTACTTAAATCTAGTCTAGTATTCTTCCAGTATACAACAGGAAAGGGAATACTTAAATCTAGTCTAGTATACTTCCAGTAGACAACAGGAAAGGGAGTAATTAAAATCAAGTCTAGTATACTTCCAGTATACAACAGGAAAGGGAGTACTTAAATCTAGTCTAGTATACTTCCAGTAGACAACAGGAAAGGGAGTAATTAAATATAGTCTAGTATACTTCCAGTAGACAACAGGAAAGGGAGAACTTAAATCTAGTCTAGCATACTTCCAGTAGACAACAGGAGAGGGAGTAATTAAATCTAGTCTAGTATACTTACAGTAGACAACAGGAAAGGGAGGACTTAAATCTAGTCTAGTATACTTCAAGTAGACAACAGGAAAGGGAGTATTTAAATCTAGTCTAGTATACTTCCACTAGACAACAGGAAAGGGAGGACTTAAATCTAGTCTAGTATACTACCAGTAGACAACAGGAGAGAGTCTACTACAATTTAGTCTAGTATACTACCAGTAGACAACAGGAGAGAGTGTACATACAATTTAGTCTAGTATACTACCAGTAGACAACAGGAAAGGGAGGACTTAAATCTAGTCTAGTATACTACCAGTAGACAACAGGAAAGGGAGTACTTAGATCTAGTCTAGTATACTTCCACTAGACAACAGGAAAGGGAGGACTTAAATCTAGTCTAGTATACTACCAGTAGACAACAGGAGAGAGTCTACTACAATTTAGTCTAGTATACTTCCAGTATCCAACAGGAAAGGGAGTACTTAAATCTAGTCTAGTATACTTCCAGTAGACAACAGGGAAGGGAGAACTTAAATCTAGTCTAGTATACTTCCAGTAGACAACAGGAAAGAGAGAACTTAAAGCTAGTCTAGTATACTTCCAGTAGACAACAGGAAAGAGAGTACTTAAATATAGTCTAGTATACTACAAGTAGACAACAGGAAAGGGAGAACTTAATATTTAGTCTAGTATACTTCCAGTAGACAACAGGAAAGAGAGTACTTAAATCTAGTCTAGTATACTTCCAGTAGACAACAGGAAAGAGAGTACTTAAATATAGTCTAGTATACTACAAGTAGACAACAGGAAAGAGAGTACTTAAATCTAGTCTAGTATACTACCAGTAGACAACAGGAGAGAGTGTACATACAATTTAGTCTAGTATACTTCCAGTAGACAACAATGGTGGGGCTGACCCCCCAGGGGGCTGAGTGCCCTGTTTGGCCCGCCCCTCAGCCCCCTGGGGGGTCAGCCCCACCATTTGAACATTTTTTAATCTCCACCACCTAGGGATGCTTCCAGTCAAATATGGTTGATATCCACTTCTTAGTTCCAGAGAAGAAGTCACTTAAAGCAATATAGCCAAATTGACCCCTTTTGGCCTAAATGCTGTCTAGTATACAAGACAATGAGGAAGGAGGTCTTTAAAATCCTGTCCGGTATTTATAGTTGACTTCAGTAAAGACCACATCTGAGGTATTTTCCATAAAATCATTTTGAAGTTGACCTATGTTTGCCTGGTTTCAGCATGTCCCTACATCTAGGTGATGAGATCTTTGACGTACACACAATGCCGATACAGGGCGACTTCAACCACCTGTTTGTACGACAGGGCACAGGTCTTCAGGGACAGAGTGTCTTCAAAACCAAGCTGGCATTTAGGTACTGTATATAGATGTAGCTTTTACTCAAAGTTTATCTGGTAATGATATGTTACCTATAGTTTGATGTAATATTTGTAAGGTTACCTGATGTAGTATTTGTAAGTTTAACAATTGTTTGATTTAGTAGTTGTAAACTCACCTTTCATATGATGTAATATTTGTAAGCTTACCTGCCATATGATGTAATTTTTTAAATATTTCAAGAGGCCTTCACACAATGGTTACCCTACTCCAGATTTCTCGGACACTTATTGACGCCAATGTTGTTGTATTTGTTACAGGCCTCACTCAACAGAGTCTTACACACATAGAAAGATGACCTTGTCCCTTGCTGACAGGTCAAGTAAGACACAGAAGGTCAAGGTCGTTCCTATCTCGGGCCGTGACCCTGATTACTGCAGAAATGAAATGATAAAGGTAAACTTACATTTATAGGATACTGTTGTCCTGGAATCTTCTCTGTCTGTTTGAAATTGTTATCAGATAATTACAATATGATTGAAGTGATTTTTTGAATTTCTTACACGTTTCTTGTATGTTGTAAAATGTTTTTGCTTATCAAAATAATCATCCGGAGGGGAACTGCACGCTTGTGAAATACATCTATCCAGAGGATTGGTATGAAGGAGGTCATTTTGAATCACTTAGATAAGTTAAGGTTATTTCTGGTACAGGTCACCAGACTCCAAATAGTACATATACATAGTAAATTACAGAGCTATAATGTATATTTTATAGTGTTGTTTAAGGTAAGCGTTGAAACTGGAGGAACGCCTGTTGTTTTACAGTTTGTAATACTAGGTACTGGAGACCTGGGGCTTTAACAAGTTACTTTCGCCAATTGATACAGTTTTATGATTTTTATGACGTTTTTCATTTCCACTATTAGTGATTTTAGCAATAGGCAGTGCAAGCTCTGTCACAAAATCACTAAACTTTGTTGATCATCAAAACTTTAGTACATTAATTTTGACAGAAAGAGGAGGAGAAATTGAGAGCAGCCATCCGACGGGAAAGCTCAGTACGTCGCACAAAAGAGCGCTCACATGGTGGGGGTTTGTCTCGCGGATTCTTGGAAGGCGACGAGGAGGAAGATGAGGATGAAGGAGACATCTCTATAGCAGCTATAAAGAAACACTACAAACAGAACAGGAAAGGTAAGAGTTAAGAGTCATACAGGAAATTACATAATCAAACAGGGGTCAAGGTAACCGCTTATGCTTTTTATTGCCAAGAAAGTATTAGCTATAAAAGTCTCTAAAACCTTGTCAGGTAGTGTAATTGCGATTATAAAAGAGTTAAGATGAACGGTTTTTATGTATCAATATTGTTTTAGAGTAATGAGTACTATCCACTGCCGTTCTTAGCCTTTATAGATGTTGCTATTTTAAAATTATAAATGCACAGCATCAAAATGAGAGATGAATCACTTGACAGGGAATATCCTTTAAAATTTAATAATTTCCCGGGTTATTCGAATACCTTTATGCAAACTACAATCCATAAATACATCAAACATATTTTTCTTATTACATTTTGTCACCCTTCTAACTTGTAACACTCTATCTTGCCGTGGTTTTTATTTCTATTGACCCCGCTCTGCCGGTAGCATGTGTGAGGGGAGATAGCTCAAACTAGAATCTCTCTTCATGTCAACAAAGATGGTGTCTGACACACACAGGTTTGCAAATCATTCAAAGGATGAAAAAGTCTACTAGTGATCTAAATTGACAGCAAATTCAACGAAACAGGCATTGAGGGGGCCGCTAGTGTGCTAATTGCCAAGATGGTTGTGTTTTGTCCGAAATATTGCCGAAAATATGGTTGGTAGGGGCTATATTGGTAGCAGTCAAGTACAACTCACAAAACTCACAAAGTGACTTATAATTTTGCAGGAAAAAAATGTAATAAAAGATTGTCAGTGTCACAAATTAGTTATCTCCGCCTTTGGCTCGGGGTCTATAAAGACCAGACGGGGTCTTTAGACCCCTCCTAACCTACAGATAACTTAATAAAATCAAATATTTAAGATGTCTACTAAAAAAAAATTGGTTTGATTTCTGTAACTTAACATACAGGATTTTAAAGATGTTCCAAGTGCAACATTCTTCAGTTGAAATCTACTATGTTTGGAATTTTTCTTGATGGTCCCACAAAGTTTGAAACAACAGAGTAAACATCACTGTAAATGCTGTAAGATAAAGTTATTTTTTTATTTCTGATACAGAGAAACAGCATATCTATTCCTCTGACAGCGATGATGCCTACGACTCGGACCGGGAGAAGAAAAAGGCCAAGCGGCTGATGAACGCGAAAAAGGGTCTCATGGACAGTGATGAGGTGGGTGTTTTAACTCATTCACCCCTGAAATTTCATAATGAACTGTTCAAACCTTTGAATTGGAAGAGTGCAAATGTGTCTTCAGGGGTGAATGACTGTAAGACCTAGTCCATAGTGGTCAAGACTGTTCAACAAGATTACTTCTTTTACACGTTTCTCAAAAAAGTTTGAAAGTTTAAGATTTCTTTTTCAGGGTGATACGGGGACTATGGATTGCCTGAAAATACTTTGTGTTGTTCTGTTACGTTATAATAATGTTGTAATAGTAACGGTGTAAGGGAGGTAACTGGATCTATTTTTGTGATTTGTTTCAGGGCTCTGACTCTGATGCTGGTGGCCCAAAGAAGAAGAAAGCAAGGATGGTTGAAAGTGATGAAGAGGATGCAGACATGGATGATGAAGGAGGCGACAAAGATGAGGAAGCAGGAAGTGGGGGGAGTGAAGGGGAAGGGAAAGAGGGGGAGGGGGCAGCTGGTTCGGGAGGGTCGGATTCAGAGTAGGGAAAATGGGGAGAGGGGAAGAGAACGAAGGGGCAGCAGCTTCCGGGGGGGGGGGGGGGGGTCTGATTCAGATTAGGTAAAAAAGGGAGGGAGGATGGAGAAAACATCTCTTTCTGCGCGGGTGGGGTGTCAAATTCTGTGTCAGAAATTTTATGATGCAGGATAGAAACAGCAATTGCTTCTGCGGGTTCTACGGCCTGTACTCATCAAACCGTTCTCTCTGTGGGTTCTACGGCCTGTACTCATCAAACCGTTCTCTCTGCTGGTTCTACGGCCTGTACTCATCAAACTTGCTGAAATCATGTGACAATGTCAAAACTCGAGACTGATAATTATAAATGTAATTTTGGTTTAAAGTCTCAAAAATTCTGCAAAATCATTGAACAATTATGAATTTTACTTAATTGATCAACGGAACAAAAAATTGGGCTTTAGCACAGAATTTGTGAGAATAGTCTTATGAATACAGACCCAGGAATTTACATTTTGGAAATCAGATATGTTAGATGACCATGTGTGTTTGAGTAGGAAAGAGAAAATGTGTCTGAAAATTTAGGGAGAGTGTGTGTTTGGTATATCGTTAAAGTGTGGGATGGTGGAAGGGAGAGTGAACTTTGTGTGAAGGGTGATATTAGTACTGTGAGAAGATGAATTCAAATGTCATGATAAAATAAAAACAGTGATAAAAACCAATAGAAATATATCACGTTTTAGTTCTTTATATAGACAATGATGTTACGACGTTGTAGACAAAGGAATTTGTCAAATTATCAGGGTTATCTGCCCTTTTTCAAGACATGAACAGATACACAGTCACTATGAAACAATACTATGACATAAACTACATCAAAACAAAACCAGTTTTATCGTTGGTGAAGTAGACAATAAACACGACAAAATGGAGAAAATAGGTGGCTGACAGGTGGTAAGTTTTTGAACAATCAGAAGAACTTGACAGTTAAATATTCTACTATTTCTCAGAAATTGCTAGAGAAATCTTTTGAAGTTTCCTTATAGAATCTTTTTGCAATGGATGGTTCTTAATTATGAACGTTTCATTTCCAGCTTTATTTTTTGGGGATAATATTTCCACCAGTAAGATGTCTTGAATTTGAATCCTGAAGTTTATTATTATTTCTCAGAAAACATATTCCAGCTCTTTCTCAAATTTTATATGCCGGTCCTGACTGTTCCCTTTATGCATCACATCTGAAATTTCAGGCTGCTTCAGCAGGAAAGGAATAAGACTGACAGAAATCAGAAATCTTTCTAGGTATATCTTTTTCACGATAATAACTTTGCTAGAAAATAGGTAAAATGACAATCTCACTATAAAAGGACACAGCAGTATGACATTTTGGTACAAAAAAATTATCAGATCATGTATTTTCTATTGACCTTACTCAATCCAACAGAAAAGAAAAGTATAAGAAATATCAAACGTACATAGAACCCATGTTGATCTTACAATGGCAGGTGCCAGTGTCCCTATGAGGTCCTTTGTTATTAAATTGATTTGGACAGTAAGTATATATTACCAATGATAAAACCAGTGTTAGTGTTTAACGTTGGTCAAACGGAAGCCACAGATGATGGGGCGTATTTCATTCACTTCGGGTGATGGAACAACTCCTGGAGGAACTTTGTTCATTCTTTATACATGGTTTTATCTGGAGCTTGGGTACTGCCGATTTCTACAATAATATACAACATTTCATATTATAATAATAAACATTTACTAGCGCCCTATATAACTTGAAAAAATTACACTAAAGCGCTTTACTGTACATTGTAGTTTTAATGGATTAACAAAAAAGGCATACAAATCACCATTATACATACAGTAAGAAGAGTATCTCAATATTGCAAACTTTGTCACTTGATACGAATTGAGAGGACTATAAGTCGGTAAATGCCTAAAATAGGACCAGTTTTATAACCAATATATTCACTATCTCGTTGGATCTATTCGTTATTCATTTTCCTGATTGTGAAATAAATGTAAATTTACTCCGGTAAATGGTATTAGTTGACCACTTACAAACCATTCAATCATTAAGGCACTACTATTTTTAGGGTGAGTGGATAAACATATCCACTGTTCTTAGTCGAGGGATATATTTTAGAGAAATGTCAATTTTACGTAAATGAAACGCACGTGATGTCCGGATCCGTGGACAATATTTGGAGCAATAATACCAACGGGGCAAGGCAAAACCCACAAACCCCTATATGCTTTTATAGTGTTAAGGGAAATATCATTCTAAAGAGGTAATCCGTACCTTATGTCATTCAAATTCGTTTTTCACAAAGTTAAGGAGGGTCATTCTTGCTGAAATATAACTCAACTTCTCTGGGGTGTTATTTCCCTTGACCCTGTGTAAGTATATAGAGGGGGGGGCAGTCTGTGTCCTGTGTAAGTATATAGGGGGTGGGGGCAGTCTGTGCCCTGTGTAAGTATATAGGGGTCGGGGCAGTCTGTGCCCTGTGAGAAATACGCACGGACTCGATACACGTACTTATTGACTGTACACTGTTACACATATGTATGGTTATTGTATTTTGACGCATTAATGCTCGCTAATGCGCTGGGATTCTAACCGGCGTGCACATGTAAGAGTTGCACTTAGTTTAAAAGAAAGTGAATTTGAGATCATTTCTCGACATTCTGAACGTTTCTTTTCAGAATTCACATTTTTCGTATAAATGTATATGTTCACTTGTATTGACGATGATTTGTACTCGACTCAACATCCTTTTTCTCGCTGAGGACACGTGCTCCACAGGAAATGTGTCCTCCAGAACGGAAACGGCCTTTCTGTGTTTGCCTCTTGTATCAAGATCAAGTATTCACCCCACGGTTCATACAGGACCACACCGTATTTGAAGTAAACAACAAACCTACACCATAAAAACAAAACTCATCGTTACCATGCAATATTTTCATTTGCTCTGTATGCTTCCACTGCAATGCATTGAGAAGGCAAATGTTGTTGTGAGACTATAACAACATTTGCTATTGTAACGTCATCAATCTCTTTTGTGACGTCATCAATCTCTTTTGTGATGTTATTAGTTTCATTGTTGTCAACACTTTATTTGCTGTTCGAAATAACTAAGTAAAGCTTAACTACTCTATCAAAATGTAAATATAAATAATGAATATTTTAGCAAATATTGTTATGGTCCTATAACACACCTACCCCGGGCTTTATTCAGTTTGTCGTCAGCAATGTGTGTTATAGGACCATTACTACATCTGCTAAAACATTCATTACTTAAATGAATATGACAAATGGCGACAGTCTAGTTTTTATATAACTATGATGTACAAAAAGCAACATTTTTTAAATTATTAGATTTCAATTTATATTGGGAATTAAACAAAAGTATCCAACTCGACTTTTTCAAAATTATCGACAATAGAGTGATACAATAGCTTCGGTACGTTAATGATATGCCTTATAAACTCTGTGTAGGAACGGAGGTAGTTGGGTATAATAAACTTGCTCGTTGTATAGATTTCGTTATCCGATCATCTTGTACCCCGGAACATGTATATTTTTGTATGTACAGCTTTAAAATGTTATCATAATATCAGTACATGTACTTAAAATTTTATTTTTATGTATCAATAACTCATTCATCCCTGAAACTTTATAATGAACTATTCCAACCTTTGAATTAGAAGAGTTCAAATGTGTCTTCAGGGGTGAATGGGTTAAAGCTAACGATGTTTGATACACATTCACCGATAGCCGACCTTCGACTGTCACTTCCGTGTCTTGGCCTTACTCGTGGTTACGCCCACATCCGACCTTAATCATCGAACGTAGGTTTCTAGTATGTGCTTTTCCTTTCGGAAAGTTGTATTCGTTTCAATTTCATTAAAAACGTAGTATTAGTCCCATTGGTTAGACATCGTGTCAGGTCTGTGAAACCCTCACCCACGGCCACGGTGAAGCTTACACGGGCGTGGGCGTCTTCAAACATTTATAAATGTGAGTATTTATGATATAATGAATGGCTCCGTTTTATACTGTTGTATTACTATTTTATATGATCGCTAGGTTAGGTTTGTTTGTGCTTTATGTCGTATTAACAGCCATGGTCATTAAAGGACGAGCTAGGTTTGGGTGGAGGAAAGCCGGAGTACCTGGAGAAATAACACCAACCTGCGAACAGTACCTGGCGATGGCCCCACGTATAGGCCTCGAACCCGCGACCCAGCGGTTGAGGGCTAGTGACCGTAGACGGTCAGGCGCCTTATAATCAACCACCAGGGCTCGTGACCGTAGACGGTCAGGCGCCTTATAATCAACCCCCAGGGCTAGTGACCGTAGACGGTCAGGCGCCTTATAATCAACCACCAGGCCACTGCGGCCCTATGTATATAGTGGTATTAGTTATAGGCCGCATAAATAATAACGATATTATGATAGCGTGTGTTTGGGGGTATTTTTTGGGGTAGTTACACTGTATTTTTGGGGTAGTTACATTGTATTTTTTGGGGTAGATACACTGTATTTTTTGGGGGGATACACTGTAATTTTTTGGGTATATACATTGTATTTTTTGGGGGTATATACACTATGTTTTGGGGTATATACACCGTATTTTTTGGGGTAGTTACACTGTATTTTTTGGGGGGAGACACTGTATTTTTTGGGGTAGTTACACTGTATTTTTGGAGGAGACACTGTAATTTTTAGGGTATATACACTGTATTTTTTGGGGGTATATACATTGTATTTTTTGGGGTATATACACACTGTATTTTTTGGGGTAGATACACTGTATTTTTTGGGGTAGATACACTGTTTTTTTTGGGGGGATACACTGTAATTTTTTGGGGTAGATACACCGATTTTTTGGGGGTATATACATTGTATTTTTTGGGGTATATACACACTGTATTTTTTGGGGTAGATACACTGTATTCTTCACGCGATTACTTGATTCTAACGACATTCCTAGATCACAGTAGTTAAAATAATGATAAAATGATTGCTTTAATGTTTAAGTATTGACGGGAAATTCTGTACGGATAACCAGGGTAGGGAAAGAAAACCTTGCGATTCTTAGATTTTCCCGAAAGTTTGCATGTAGAACGAGGAACTAGTAATTTACTAATACCATGACTTTCCAGATATGAATTTCGCACTTTTAAAACCAATCATTTTGATTTTATTTTGTACGATATTTCTCCCCGTGTTACGTATTCAAAGAACGATGAATACTGGGTGATTTGTACACACCATAGACAATGGCGTTTTAGGGGTTCAGATCGACTTTCGTGTTCAGAGTAATTTTACGCGTTTTAAGGTTCTAGATCGACTTTCGTGTTCAGAGTAATTTTACACGTTTTAGGGGTTCAGATCGACTCTCGTGTTTAGAGTAATTTTACACTTTAAAGCGGTTTTGAACAATTTTTGGGCTTATGTAAACCACTAAAACGTTTAAACTGACTCTTAACATGTCAGTTTATGTCCATGTGTAGCATTAATCAATTCTCAGATCCCTGTGTATGGTTCTACCACGAGTTCTACCACTGACTTCTCGTTAGCACTGTTAACTGTCATTATAGCTGTTAACAGATTTTGGTGATGTTGGAGAGAAGACAGGTTTGTTTATGAATCCACGTTTGGTTACAAAACCAACGCACGTTTATTGCATTGAAATGTGGACATATTGTTGTTTTCTTTGATTAGTTAGTCATTTGGTTTCATTGATCGTAACCTAGTAGCCTCCCCTCCCCTGGTCCCGCGTGTATCTGACCTACACACTATCGGGCGCCCTAATCCCCTATACACAACATCAATGCTTCCATGGTACCAACAGCGAAAGTGACGTCATAGAAAATCGATATCTTGATCAATGTATCTCTCATCTCGCTACACACACGTACACACATACCGTCACCCGTACTGCAGCCTCTGTAACCATCTAGTGACCTCATGGAAACCAAGCTATTCGGGGTATGTAACACACCACAGAAAATTAACATTTCCCGGAAATAAAAGGTAAGATTACGCAAAGAAAGTCGCGTGAGTGCTGACGGAGGCCATGCTTACAGGGTAGGTATATGTAGCACGTGGAGGGTCTACATTACCAAGTGAATTGCATGGATAAGTATTTGGGAATCAAGCTTGATTTGATAGCGTTTAGCACACAGAAGGTAGAGACGTGCTTAGCTTAGCTTAGCTGTGTAGATATAGGTATATCTGGTGTGTGGGTAGTCGGCGTTACCAAGTAAACTGCAGCAGTGGGTACATGTTTAATATTTGTTATCTGTGTTCTTGGGAATCAGGCTTAATTGGGTAGCATTTCATACAGAAGGTTGACGTGCTTAGCTTAGCAGTAGTTAGGTACATGTGGCGTTTGGATAGTCGGCGTTACCAAGTAAACTGCAGCAGTGGGTACATGGTTACTATTTGTTTATTGAGTAGCATTCCACTTAGTAGGTAGCCGTCCTCAGACTGCCCGCAGTGTGTATGCGTCATGTATTTCCGATGATGGAGTTACTCCGGGACACAGGGACATGAGAATTTGTTAAACCTAAACTAAGGTGGTCGGAGTCATTTTACACGTTTTCGGGGCTTGGATCGACTTTCGGCAAAATGACACCAAATATGATGATTTATGTATATATAGGTCTAAGTAGTATATGGTACACTTCTATGAGTTCCTACTTTGAACGGGTAGGGATTAGCTCCTCCTAGGGTACCTACTTTGGCCGTGGAGCTGGGTAGGGCATTAGCTCCTCCTAGGGTACCTACTTTGGCCGTTGAGCTGATTAGGGTATTAGCTTCTCCTAGGGTACCTACTTTGGCCGTGGAGCTTGGTAGGGTATTAGCTCCTCCTAGGGTACATACTTTGGCCGTGGAGCTGGGAAGGGTATTAGCTCCTCCTAGGGTACATACTTTGGCCGTGGAGCTGGGAAGGGTATTAGCTCCTCCTAGGGTACATACTTTGGCCGTGGAGCTGGGTAGGGTATTCGCTCCTCCTAGGGTACCTACTTTGGCCGTGGAGCTGAGTAGAGTATTAGCTCCTCCTAGGGTACCTACTTTGGCCGGGGAGCTGAGTAGGGTATTAGCTCCTCCTAGGGTACCTACGTTGGCCGTGGAGCTGGGTAGGGTATTAGCTCCTCCCAGGGAACCTACTTTTGCCGTGGAGCTGGGTAGGGGCTTAGATCCTCCTGGGGTACCTACTTTGGCCGTGGAGCTGGGTAGGGTATTGGCTCCTGCTAGGGTACCTACTTTGACCGTGGAGCTGGGTAGGGTATTAGCTCCTCCTAGTGTACATACTTTGGCCGTGGAGCTGGGTAGGGTATTCGCTCCTCCTAGGGTACCTACTTTGGCCGTGGAGCTTGGTAGGGTATTAGCTCCTCCTAGGGTACATACTTTGGCCGTGGAGCTGGGAAGGGTATTAGCTCCTCCTAGGGTACATACTTTGGCCGTGGAGCTGGGTAGGGTATTAGATCCTGCTAGGGTACCTACTTTGACCGTGGAGCTGGGTAGGGGATTAGCTCCTCCCAGGGGACCTACTTTGGCCGTGGAGCTGGGTAGGGTATTCGCTCCTCCTAGGGTACCTACTTTGGCCGTGGAGCTGAGTAGGGTATTAGCTCCTCCTAGGGTACCTACTTTGGTCGTGGAGCTGGGTAGGGGGTTAGCTCCTCCTAGGGGACCTACTTTGGCCGTGGAGCTGGGTAGGGTATTCGCTCCTCCTAGGGTACCTACTTTGGCCGTGGAGCTGGGGAGGGTATTAGCTCCTCCTAGGGTACCTACTTTGGTCGTGGAGCTGGGTAGGGGATTAGCTCCTCCTAGGGTACCTACTTTGGCCGTGGAGCTGGGTAGGGTATTAGCTCCTGCTAGGGTACCTACTTTGACCGTGGAGCTGGGTAGGGTATTAGCTCCTCCTAGGGTACCTACTTTGGCCGTGGAGCTGAGTAGGGTATTAGCTCCTCCTAGGGTACCTACTTTGGCCGTTGAGCTGAGTAGGGTATTAGCTTCTCCTAGGGTACCTACTTTGGCCGTGGAGCTGAGTAGGGATTACGAAAAATGGCGGATATACCCTAGCATTGACGGTGGTATTAAGAATACCCTAGAATTGACCGGAAAATGTACTACTTATTTCTCTGAGACTAATTACCTGACACCAGACAGCTCCCTAGAAATTTTTGAATAAAGATTTGGAAACATTTTGAAATATATACATATAGTTGAGAAATCAGAATAAAGACCCATACACACATTCTTTCGTCAAATTAATAAATTTTGTTTATTGATGGAAAATGAAAACAACAAAAATTGAACATATCTAGATACAAAATCTGACAAAAAGAAAAGTATTCATCGGAATTTCTATTTCGTAATGACAGGGTATATGTACGTAAAGCGTTCCGTAATTTTGTATGTTTTGACATGTATGTATCCTTCATTATAATCAGAAATTTGAATCAGATATTTTTTCTTAAAAAAATGAAATTTACGTATCCAGAACAAATATTGGACAAATTGTGTATAGTGAAATGTCCGGAAACCGATTCTGACAAATATCTTATCCTTCAAGAAGATTTGGTAAGTTACTTAAAAGATATATAAGTAGGGGGAAAACCCACTCCCGCCAGATCCGGAAAAGTATCTCCGCCCCTCCGGCCCCTCCCAAGACCGCGGGAAGTTGTATAAACCCACTCTCGCCAAATCTGTAATTTGTTGAAATTTGTATGTGTAGAATTTACTCAAGTTCAAGTTAAATTGAAAACTCAGTCGTGGTAGTTTGTTGATTATTTTATTCAAGACGACTCGCGAAAACTAGAGGATCTTTTGTAAACGGTTCGAAACTAACCTTTTTTCATAGTGTAATTTTGTCAGAATTTGGTGTCAATCAATGAGTTTTCCCCTTTGTGTCGAATCGTTCCAAACTAGACTAATTCGAGTGTCTTCTTCAGAATGGACTACGTTCATTGTTTGTTTGAGTGGTGCTACACTATTTATCCCCTCCGTAAACATCAATAAGACAGCTGGCTGATTGGATGTTTGCAGATTTACGTATCTGTTACTTCAGTTTTTGTTGCGAAGTGATCCGTTTTCCGTCATCACCGGGTTCATCGCGATCGTCAACTCACCTATTGTTGTAGACCGAAACCCACCGCTCTAGCCGTCTCGGCTGAGCGGACACCGCTGGTCAAATGTGTATTTCTCAAATACACAGTACAAAGCGAAACTAACTAAAAAAAGAAATACGTCACACGATTAACACATAAGTAGCTATTTGTAATCTGTTGTGACAGTATGTACAACTATAGACTGATACACGTACCACGGATTGATGGCTATGGCAAGGATGGATGTTATCCATAATGTTGAGCCAGGGACTCTATATACTGTCCCTGGTTGAGCTAAAGGTACGATAACATAAGGTCAACTTAACCTATGATAATACTAATAATACAACAGTTGTATATATAAAACATGGTGGATATATATATATATAGCGCCTTATTAGTTTGCAACATATTACTCCAGGGCGCATTACTGGTGGCGGATAATAGTATTCCTACAGTGACAGTTGTATCAACTTTAATTCAACTCAACTTTATTGCATTCAATTGCATCCAAACAAAGTAACATTATAAGGATCGAACAGCAAATTAACACAACATTAACCAACACATAAGATCTATACTCAGATTATAACCATTACATTAAACTTAAGCACTTTGCAAGCCCGCCTTCCTCAGCTAAAATGACAGATTAAAAAAGGCATACAGAAACTTAGAAATACTTGTACCCTGCCGCATCGCGATTTTTATCAAAGTGCCTGGCCTTTGGTGTCACAACTATCTGTGGAAATCGTATACCCATACCGCGAGAGTAATTAACATAGCTTTAAAAACAACAAAATGTTGCAAAAAACTATATCAGTACTTCAGTTTTATCAAGCTTTATCGGTTTGACGTATATAGCGCGTGACCTAGTTAAGACATAGACAAAAGTTATATAGATAACCGTAGTTGTAATAGATGTACTTCTCTGACCCATAGTCACTCTATCGGGACAGTAAAATATCATGTTGGACCCATATCAGTCTTATTGTTATTATTTTAACATGTAAATAAGGAAGTTGAAGATTTTACACTGGTCCGGTTGGAACCGGTTTCGATATCTTTAAACGTGATGCAATCAGTACCCCCAGGGGTACCAGAGGGGGTCGCCACTATGGGTTACGGTGGAGGGGGTGGGGCGCTATAGGGTTTATAGGCGGAGGGGTTGCGCAAACAGCGGTTCTTTTGTACTAATGGAAACGGTATTTTAATAAAAACCGGGGTTAACAAATTTGAAAAAGTTGACACGGTAAATTAAACGGTTAAGCCCGATATTACTCATTATACCACGGAATTTGATTAACTTGCTATTTAAGTCCGTGGCTATACGCTTTTGTTAACGTGTATATATCAGGCAGAGTGTTAATAGGAATCTTGAGAAACGTGTACCCCTCCCCTTCCTCCTATGTAACACGAACCGGCCGCTGTTAGGTATACGTACGTACTACGTTTACAGGGAGTCAGTGTTTCCATGGAGATAGCAGTAGTAAGTACAGTGTTATACACAAGCTCATACTCTGGTACTCTCCGGGGTGTGCATAGCATGCCTAGGAATTGATACACGTAACCATGGACACTTTAATAGTATGTATACGTATTTTCCGCGCCAATAAACGTATATCCAGTGTATTATTCAGGCGGGGTTTAATAAAAGATACACAGGTAATTCATTGTTACACGACTAAAGGGCAGTCGGGCGCTATACTGTAGGCATAGTAACACCGTGACAGAGATGTTTCGTTGTGAGATGAATCCGATATTTTCACACGATAGATGATATTTCCGCTAGTAATACTACAGCAAAAAGAGAACTGTAAGACATTATTACTTTTAATACGACGGCGTTCTTAATTGATTATTTGACGACACATTCAAAAGACATGTGAATTCGGGGTTCTTGCACAAATTACTCGACAATCAATCTGTTGTTTCTTGTGGTTTATTACATCACGTGAAAAATCCCTAAAATAATGTAAAAAATACTAGTTATACAATATAGACACATATTAGACATATTGCTAATCGAACACACCGCACAGAAACATTTACAATACATGACGCGAACAATGGAATATTTAAAAGGACGAGAACACAATTCTATGACTTCTAGATAAAAGATGACCTTACCAGTTTAACGAAACATGGAATCACGGTATCGTTACATACAAATATAAATTATAGAACATTCTCAGGATAGAATGTAACCTATATTTTACTTATACTTTTACTCGCAGCTAATTTACACAAAGGAATTAACGTCAAGTCTTAAATGATAATAAATAATATTAGATTAATTACATACATATATATTATATAAATAATATTAGATTAATTACATACATATATATTATATAAATGGATTACCCTGCATTTGGTGCTGAGGATATTTTAGATCAATTATCGATCGAGCATACCAGCCACCGATGATATAATACTTCAGGCTATAAATGAAGGTCTGACCCCTTGTAAATAAAGTGCCCACGCAAAGAAAGACAGAGAAAAGCGGGAAATAAACGAAGCGTCGCATTGCGCATGCATGTCCGAAGTTGTCAGTCCGGTCAACAAAAGAATAAAACACATAGCACATGACATCACAGGTGTTACAGATACGGGCCATAATAACAAGTATCAGGAAAACGAAAGTACGGGGCACGTGATACAGCCACACGAACGGAAAAGGTAACTCACTTAAACACATTTCGACGATAACGCTTTTATTTTCAATCAAACCCGAATACTCAATATTAAAGCCGAAATATATAATAGACACTTAAAACAACAGGGTGCAACACGTACGAACATTGCTGACTTCTTCGAAGGACACACCGGTCGGGATTAAATGCATAGGTACATGTGGTGATTCTGCGATATTAGATATCCTGCCTTAGTTTATAATCTACTCTCCGACGGGCTTCACTTCAAAAATACAACAATACCGAAGAGCTTGATAATAATAGGAAAACTAAGTATTCCAACCTATACGTCATCAAAAAACTTCCAAATCTAAACAAGGGGAAATAACCCCAGCAGAAATCTGGAGAATCACGTGTACAGTAGTATATAACATTAAACGCTCCCACACAACACAAACAACAAGGTTACCGAAACGTCAACAAAACCATAGTTTGTACTCAAAATCGATTAAACCAGGACAAAGTATGAACACAAGAACTATTTACAAGGATGCCTTTTGAAAATTCAAGAATGAAGACCATATGTTCCAGAGGGGTAAGAGTCTGTCGTATTATCGATGACACCCATGGTTTAAGTCGAATCAAAGAAATGCCACGTCATCGCATCGAAAACTCGGGGTACTGACAACACAACCGCAGGGCAATCTAATGAGTGGATTTAATTCAATTCATGTATATAGATCTTATCATAATTTACTTTCTATGAGGGCAGACGAAAAATGTTTCGTTCAAAACTGCGTTGCTCATGTTGTTGTTTTGAATACCCGTTACTACATTACGACTGTCGACGTTGTCAAGGTAACTAACGTGATGCATAATGCGAGAATTGTTTCATTGTAATCTGTAAATAATACAAGGTGATACCATGGAAACGTCTGTAAAAAGTTGTCATATACCTATAATACACATTTATATAATAATAAACTAACATGAACCCTACACCCAATACTGGTATTATCATACGTCTATATAACGTGACAGTCCGCGGGGTGTCTGATAGACAATCGTACATTACCAGGTAAACAATCAATATAATTGTTGATTAGTTAATGACTTGACGCTGCTTCTCTTGGGACAAAGTCTCGTTCAACCAGACGCTTAATCATCGCGTCATTCTGTTGGACGTAGCTTGCGCAGACAACAAGAGTCTGGTTGTACGATACTTTGCACTTGCCGTAAGTCAGGAGATGGCCAAGTAAGTAGTAAGAACTCGTGCGCAATCCCTTAGACTGTTAAAGTCAATATCATATGTTTGAATGAATGACTTGACATAACATGACGTGACTACGTTTTTGTGAACATTTTGTGAACATGACTGTCACTGTAATACTGTTAGATGTCCCCTCCTGTTGATTAATTGACGACACTAAATATTCATTGATCGGACTACGTATTTGTCACGTTTGGGAATACTTATGTCTACCGCCAAACGGGACATACGTTATGAGTTAAAGAAAACGGCTGAGTGTTTTTGAGAATCAGGTGGTATCGATTTCTTGCGATTTCCAAATGAAGCCAAATTTGAAAGTTGGTCAGTATCCCAAGTTGAGGTTCTCTTATCAATATTTACTGAATTTTGTTCGTGTTTCAGAGCGAGGCGTTGTCATGCGAGTATGTACCCAAGTGACGCAGTGTCGGGACTAGGTCTGTATCTCTCCAATATGCCAGAAAAATGCAAGGAGATCGTCAACCCTCTGACGTCCGAAGAAGTCAAAGAGCGACAGTCTAACTTCCGCAAGAGGTTTACAGCCAAGTTTTTCGCAAAACATCGGAAATATAAAGGTCAATATAACGTTGTTATTACACAAGTGATATAAACCGCACTATCCTAATAAGCGAACCTATTTTGGCTCGGAAAATTGATAGGAAAATAGGATCCATTGCAGGATTGTAAAGCGTGACTTATGTATATAATTAAAGGCGCCCCACCACAACTGGAGTTTTCCTCCGTGGATTTCACTTAGGAACATTCGTGAAACACAAATAGGTCTGTTGCGCAAATGGTCACAGTTGGGATGTTCATATTGTCATTTCTTTCCTAGTCTTGTTTGTTTTGGGGTAAGCATCCTCGGAAAAGCTAAGGTCATTTGAAGACGGGTGTATTGGAAGACAACGCCAACAAGAACGAGTAGGGAAGCGAGAAGAGAAATGATTTAGATCCCGAAGGTTGTCATGGGGACAGCAGGTCAAATTTGGTTCCATCGATGTCCCCTTAGGATAAAAACACATAACATTCACCCCGATTTTGTAAGTGGTTTACATTAATTGCCTCTTACGGCAATAAGTAGTTGGATAAATACAAACACTCATTCTTTCTATACATCACACACAAAGACATACAAAAACTCAGTTGGATACAGCCGACTAATTCTCTTCCAAACATGCAGGAAGTTCCCCCTTTCTGCAACTTTTATGCTATAGTATCACATGTAGAATCTCGTTGTGCTGATGGGCTATATTCACTAACGTTAAGATGTAGTATCTCGTTGTGCTGATGGGCTATATTCACTAACGTTAAGATGTAGTATCTCGTTGTGCTGATGGGCTATATTCACTAACGTTAAGATGTAGTATCTCGTTGTGCTGATGGGCTATATTCACTAACGTTAAGATGTAGTATCTCGTTGTGCTGATGGGCTATATTCACTAACGTTAAGATGTAGTATCTCGTTGTGCTGATGGGCTATATTCACTAACGTTAAGATGTAGTATCTCGTTGTGCTGATGGGCTATATTCACTAACGTTAAGATGTAGTATCTCGTTGTGCTGATGGGCTATATTCACTAACGTTAAGATGTAGTATCTCGTTGTGCTGATGGGCTATATTCACTAACGTTAAGATGTAGAATCTCGTTGTGCTGATGGGCTATATTCATTGACTTTGAGATGCAGTAATATCCAGTACTGGAACTATTTCGAACGGTTGCATTCCTTTGCTATTTTCAGTCTTATCATAGACAAGTTGGTTTTAGTTCTTTGGTTTCACAGCAATGTTGTTCAGAAAACAGAAACTCAGTATTTTCACGATATAGGTATATCTATCTATGTCCACACAAAAACAACGGTGTACATGTGCATGGGAATTCTGAAGTGCAACGTTATAAGTCTGATGTGTTTATATATGCTTTTACAATTATTTAATGATTATTATACATGTAGTTTAAACTTATCGCTTATTTACGCTTGAACTAGTATCTTCCGAAAAACGACCATTCCAGCGGACCCCAAATGCAACATCGACACTATACGAGCGGTAGATATCGCCTAAAACAGACATACAAACACCAATTCTGTCATTACACCATACACAGACATACAAACACTCGTTCTGTCTATACACCATACTTTTGTTTGTTTGTTTGTTTGATTTTGTTTAACGTCCTATTAACAGCTAAGGTCATTTAAGGACGGCCTCCCCTGTGTGCAAGATGCATGCATGTAGTGTATGTGTGTGCATTTTGGGAGGCTGCGATATGTTCGTGTTTGTCTCCTTGTGATAGCGCGGAACTGATACACCATACACAGACATACAAACTCTCATTCTGTATATACACCATACACAGACATACAAACACTCGTTCTGTATATACACTATACAAAGACATACAAAAACTCATTCTGTCCATACACCACACACAAAGACATACAAACACTCAATATGTCTATACACCTTAAACAGACATCTAAACACTCGTTCTGTCTATACACAATACACAAAGACATACAAAAATTCATTCTGTCCATAAACCACACGCAAAGACATACAAACACTCATTCTGTCTATACACCATACACACACATACAAACTCTCATTCTGTCTATACACCATATACAAAGACATACAAACACTCGTTCTGTCTATACACCATACACAAAGACATACAAACACTCGTTCTGTCCATACACCATACACAGACATACAAACACTCGTTCTGTATATACACTATACAAAGACATACAAACACTCGTTCTGTCCATACACCATACACAGAAATACAAACACTCGTTCTGTCTATACACCATACACATACAAACTCTCATTCTGTCTATACACCATACACAAAGAAATACAAACACTCGTTCTGTCCATACACCATACACAGACATACAAACACTCGTTCTGTATATACACTATACAAAGACATACAAAAACTCACTCTGTCCATACACCACACACAAAGACATACAAACACTCGTTCTGTCTATACACCATACACATACAAACTCTCATTCTGTCTATACACCATACACAAAGACATACAAACACTCGTTCTGTCCATACACCATACACAGACATACAAACACTCGTTCTGTATATACACTATACAAAGACATACAAAAACTCTTTCTGTCCATACACCACACACAAAGACATACAAACACTCGTTATGTCCATACACTATAAACAGACATTCAAACACTCGTTCTGTCTATACACCATACACAAAGACATACAGAAACTCATTCTGTCCATAAACCACACGCAAAGACATACAAACACTCATTATGTCTATACACCATACACAAAGACATACAGAAACTCATTCTGTCCATAAACCACACGCAAAGACATTCAAACACTCGTTCTGTCTATACACCGTACACAAAGACATACAGAAACTCATTCTGTCCATACACCACACACAAAGACATACAAACACTCATTATGTCTATACACCATAAACAGACATTCAAACACTCGTTCTGTCTATACAACACACACAGACATACAAACACTAGTTATATCCATACATCATACACAAAGACAAACAAACCCTAGTTTTGTCTATACATCATACACAAAGACAAACAAACACTCATTCTGTCTATACATCATACACATAGACAAACAAATACTCATGATGTCTATACACCATACACAGACATACAAACACTCATTCTGTCCATACACCACACACAAAGACATACAAAAACTCATTCTGTCCATACATCAAACACAAAGACATACACACACTAGTTCTGTCTATACAACACACACAAAGACATACAAATACTCATTATGTATATACACCATACACAGACATACAAACACTAGTTATATCCATACATCATACACAAAGACAAACAAACACTAGTTTTGTCTATACATCATACACAAAGACAAACAAACACTCATTCTGTTTATATACCATACACATAGACATACAAACACTCATTCTGTCTATACACCATACACAGACATACAAACACTCGTTCTGTCATTACATCATACACAGACATACAAACACCCATTCTGTCTATACACCATATACAAAGACATACAAACACTCATTCTGTCCATAAACCATACACAGACATACAAACACTAGTTATATCCATACATCATACACAAAGACAAACAAACACTCATTCTGCCTATACATCATACACAAAGACAAACAAATACTCATGATGTCTATACACCATACACAGACATACAAACACTCATTCTGTCCATACACCACACACAAAGACATACAAAAACTCATTCTGTCCATACATCAAACACAAAGACATACACACACTAGTTCTGTCTATACATCATACACAAAGACAAACAAACACTCATTCTGTTTATATACCATACACATAGACATACAAACACTCATTCTGTCTATACACCATAAACAGACATACAAACACTCGTTCTGTCATTACATCATACACAAACATACAAACACCCATTCTGTCTATACACCATACACAAAGACATACAAACACTCATTCTGTCCATACAACATACACAAAGACATACAAACACTCATTATGTCCATACAACAAACATAAAGACATACAAAAACATATTCTGTCAATACAACACACACAAAGACATACAAACATTCATTATGTCCATACAAAATGGCATGCAAACAATCATTCTGTCAAAACAAAATAGACACATATATACAAACACTCATTCTGTCTATACACCAAACACAAAGATAAACAAACAATCATTATGTATATAAACCACATACAAAGACACACAAACACGCATGCTTCTATAAACCATTCACAGACATACAAATACTCATTCTTTCTATAAAACATACACAAACGCATACAAACACTCATCCTGTCTGTACACCATACACAAAGACATACAAACAATCATTCTGTCTGTACAACATACACAAAGACATACAAACAATCATTTTGTCTATACAACATAACAAAGACATACAAACAATCATTCTGTCTGTACAACATACACAAAGACATACAAACAATCATTCTGTCTGTACAACATACACAAAGACATACACACACACATTTTGTCTATACAACATACACAAACATACACACACTCATTTTGTCTATACAACATAACAAACACATACAAACATTCATTATGTCTATACAACACACACAAAGACATACAAACACTCATTCTGTCTATAAAACATACACAAAGCCATACAAACACTCATTCCTTTTATGCACCCAAATAGACAATTCAAAGCACAACTGTACAAATTTAGCAACACGATTCAGCAGTACTTCGTATGGGATGAAATACACAAACACCGACGACAAAGCTGATCCACCTCGTTTTACCGGGTTATTGGATATAGCAACTGATCCACCTCGTTTTACCAGGTTATTGTATATAGCAGCTGACCCACCTCGTTTTACCGGGGTATTGTATATAGCACCTGAGCCACCTCGTTTTACCGGGTTATTGGATATAGCAACTGATCCAACTCGTTTTGCCGGGTTATTGTATATAACACCTGATCCACCTCGTTTTATCGGGTTATTGTATATAGAACCTGATCCACCTCGTTTTACAGGGTTATTGTATATAGCCACTGATCCACCTCGTTTTACAGGGTTATTGTATATAGCAACTGATCCACCTCGTTTTACCGGGTTATTGTATATAGCAACGTTGTCATGCAGTCACTTATTGATACCTGTAAACAATTTCACTAGTGAATGATCAATTGAAAATAAAAAAATGGTGATTTATTAATAAATTTTCACTTAATTTCGCGCCTATAATTAATTAGAATTTCTCACTTACAGGTATACTGAGGGAGTATGGAATCAATATACAACCTGGAAACAGTGACTATTCAATCTGCTTCGATAAAACGTTTGAGGAAGAAATCGAAATGGTCGTTAGTGAAAGTCGGGGGAATGTCTCCAAGTCTTGCCGGAAGAGCGGTCATTATAGCATACGTGGCCTTTTCTGGCAAATAATTCATGCAGTGCGCAAGACCAAAGCGTCCCGAATCATGTATAAGTTACAAGGGATTTCCGAGGTAGATATGAGAGAAACCCTTGACGCGGTATCTACGGAACTTTCTATTGGCTACGAGTACCAAGTAGCTATGCTATCGGACGAGAAGGATGTACTTAAAATGGCTGACTACGCAGTTTTGTGTGTGTTTTGTTATTTGAAATCGGCCGAATCTTCGTTTGAAACATCCAATATATTGCAAGCCGTGCTAGAAAGTGCACCGAAACACAAGTCGGAAGGAGAAGCGGTAATTAAGACGAGGATTGTAAAAAGTGATTCATTGAAACGGAAACATTCACAAAAGTGGAGAATCCAGGAAATCTTTAAACAACCAGGATTAAGGGTAAAGAACGAGGGAAACGAAGGGCGCTATGCCTACTTTGGATGTTTCACTCCCTTCGGTTGTTTATGTCGTCCGAACAAATACGGTTACCGCGCCCCACTTCACGTGTGGGACGATGATATACGAGAATATCGGATGTTGGATAACGACCGGATATCATGTCACAGTTCACATGGAAGACAGATCATGGAGGACAAGGAAGATATCCACCAGCAGTACAAACCCGAAACCTGTTGTTGCCATGTGGGAAGAGAGTTGGACAAAGAAAACACGTGTTCGAAGAATGACTGCGAAGAATCCGAACCTGTTAACGGGAAAATCAACTGTGTAGTAGATTGTACCGTAGAACCAGGAATCGTAGGATCACTGGTCACGTGCTCAACAACTCAGTCCATTGTACATGAAACATCCACACTCAACGATATACATCCGAATGTTGAAGGTGTTATACTGAATAGCGAATAAATCTGAATATAATTTGACCTGTGTTTATTCTCCTTACCTTGAAAATTCCGTGCTCCACTATTGTGTCTTCTTCCATGCCCCTGTTGAATGTACGTTCGAAAAGTGGATTTGTACATTGGTAACTGTCGAATTACGACACTATTTTAGTATTTTAATGACAGAGCGCTATGGAAATGTTCCTATATCAAGTACAATAAACATCTAAAATATAGTGGGTCATCATTGCTTATATGATTTTAAAGGTCGAATCATAAAACAAAAATTGGAACAGAAGTCGCAAAATGCACCATTACTACGATGACATTAACGTTATTCTGGTAGTACTGGAAATATCACTACTGATGCAGTACTGGACATATCACTACTGATGTAATACTGGACAGATCACTACTGATGTAATACTGGACATATCACTACTGATGTAATACTGGAAATAACACTACTGATGTAGTGCTGGGCTATTGACCAGATCTCGTCTGTATTGTACTATTCGTTTAGATAGACATATGAAGAAGCACCTATATAACAAATAATAAATCAACACTCAAAACAATGCATCCGTTAAGCCAACGCGTCCAGCTAAATTTACTTAAATTCAAATACACTTTTAGCTTTCAATTTGATCCTTGTCATGTTGTCATGTTGAACTTGCGTCAAGGTCATTCAATTAAGCAAATCTCGTAGCTCTTCTCCCAGCATGCTACTAGCCAAATATAATCACCACATGCCTCTTCAGAAGTCGTTTGGATGTCTTCAACATATTTGATCCCTGTGATATTGATTGAATAAGGATGAAGGTCATTCATTTGAACAAACTTGATGCTGTTCGTCATTCCAGCGTGCTAATGGCTAGGTATCACCCCCCCTCCCGTGTATAAGCCATATAGAGTGTACACAACAGGTGATTGGACCAGTCCCTACCAACTTACTGTCTGAGATCTATTGGTACTATATATGAATGACACTATGTTGATAGAAATCTATACAATAGAAGTACGTGCGTTTGTACAATGAATGCATGTATGTATGTTATATGTATGCATGCATGCACGTATGATAAATGAATGAATGAATGAACTAACGAACGAATAACAATAAAGAATGACGAAAGAAAGCCCTCTTGTAAGAGGAAAACTATTTTTTGTCAGTAATCCTATGACTATAAGCTGAAAAATAAACATTAAGAAAATGAAATATGTGCATTGTGTTATTTATAAAGCAGTCAAGTAGGTTGATAATGGGTTCGCTCCTACCAAACAACCCCCTAGATTCTGCCTGAAAAAGCAGTCGGGTTGGCATATGATGGGTTCGATCCTACCAAACAACCCCCTAGGTTCTGCCTGAAAAAGCAGCCGGGTTGGCAGATGATGGGTTGGATCCTACTAAACAACACCCTAGGTTCTGCCTGAAAAAGCAGTCGGGTTGACAGATGATGGGTTCGATTCTACCAAACAACCCCCTAGGTTCTGCCTGAAAAAGCAGCCGGGTTGGCAGATGATGGGTTCGATCCTACTAAACAACCCCCCAGGTTCTGCCTGAAAAAGCAGTCGGGTTGGCATATGATGGGTTCGATCCTACCAAACAACCCCCTAGATTCTGCCTGAAAAAGCAGCCGGGTTGGCAGATGATGGGTTCGATTCTTCCTATTATTATCATTATTACATGCTTAACGGCAAATTTACACAAGAGAGGTAATTAGGGCCAACAAACGGTCGGCAAAAACAGAAGAAAAATTAAAAGGTAAAAGCCAAAAGTCAACCTGAACATTGAAAGTTGCTTTGGTGACTCGTGATTAAAAACGACCAACAGCTTTCAGGTAATTTAAAATTGAAGAGACCTTTTATTTTTCGAAACGAGATATAAGACATGTAAAATTACTATAGAAATGTTCTCGAGTTGACTGAAGGTCGACTCAATCTAGTAACACGTGTTTTACTGTTTATAGTTCTGAGGCCGGTTTTCACGTTTCAATGAATATAAACGAGCTTTGTATGAATTACCCAAAGGAAGGTGGACAAGGACAACCTCGTCTCGTCTCTCTGAAGCTAGGGTCTCATTCACCAATTACAATTTCAATTGAGTGTAATTTGATGTCTACGCATTGATTCTAATGACTTTGTCACTGTGACCAGCGTTGGGTTGGTTGGATGTTTCCTATCCATAGCTAAGGCAATATAAGGACGTGCGTCCATGTATGCTGTGTATTCGTGCAAGCGTGTATGCCGGAGACAGGGTATGTTGGTGTATTTGCCTCCTTGTGATAGCGGATCTGATGCCGATTTTATAGTGCTATCTCACTGAAATACCATGCCGAAGGCACCAGGCACAGCTTCCCGCCTCATCACATCGACGTAACGTGAGATGTTGATGCACAGACGAAAGATTGTGGATCTCGCTACTTCAGCGTTATATGGATCAAATATATTATATATGTTATTATCTACCATCTTGTTATGGACAATATTATTTACCTGAATATTTCCTTTAAATATAAAGAAGTATACATAACAGGTAGATTTCAGTGTAAAATAAGGGCCCATTCCGAAAATATTTACATTTAAAAAACATATTACAATCTTTTCTTTAATTTTATGATACATCAAAGCCGATATCATTTCAGAAAAGTAAAAAATATAGGAAACCCATTAATATTATTTGTGTAATGTTTTAAGTTGTCCAAAATGTAAAATTATTCAGCAGATACATTCTAGATGAATATATTGTGTCATTTGCCTGTAGTCAGTTTGTTGAAAGTTCTTCATCTTTTTGAACGATCTGCAAAATTTATGGAAATTGCGACAGTAGTTTACTAGGTCCAGCCGTTCTATTACGGTCCGTAAAATGCGACTTTATAAGATAAAATACTACATTTCAGACTAATGAATGAAATACATGCATTGGCAAGTTCTTCGACTCTGATATTTGAATCATAACTTACATATATTGTGTGTCCTAACACCACTGCACTGCATTTATTTTCAAAGGATTTAAACGGGTGTCCAGTACCAGCTAAAAGTAGACGAACAAGCCTTAAGAATCGTGTGTGTTTCCTTTGCGAACAAGAGGCACCACAATCTGAGCTAAGGTATGCCATGACAATGGATCTTGATAAAAGATTAAACGAATGTGCTAGAAACCTGAATGACGGGACACTTTTAGCAATATTAAGTGGCAGTGATATTGTTGCACAAAAACTGAAGCTCTTGCTTGACGGCACTTTACAATAGAGAGAGGGCATACTTGGCAAAAGAAAGAGAAGTCAACCCAATAGTGTTTTCTGAGCTTCTTGTATACGTAGTCGAGACAAAAACAAACGCTGATGTGCCTGTAGTATTCCGACTTGCAGATCTTTGTCAGTCTTTACAACCAACGACTACACCAATGGTTCCCACCGCGTCATTTTTGTGCCCTAGAGGGCACGGATGTACTAGGGGGTATCACTTTTTTTAAAAGGAGGCGCGAACCGGTGTATACGGCCTAATGTCACATTGACATTGACGCCTGTAGTCGCCGCTGAATGTTTATAGAGCTACTGATCATTCTGTTAACGATGGTTAAGTACTGATGTGTACCACAATGTTCTGGAAGGGGAGGACACAAGTTTTCCAGAGATTCAGGTCTACAACTGAAGTGGAGGGTCGCCATAAAGAGATGCGATCGGGCAAAGGGTTTATGGTCACCTTCGCCGGCTGATGTTGTGTGTAACGCACACTTCGCTCAAGCTGATTACAAGTAAACATTTGTTTGTTTGTTTGATTTTGTTTAACGTCCTATTAACAGCTAAGGTCATTTAAGGACGGCCTCCCCTGTGTGCAAGATGCATGCGTGTAGTGTATGTGTGTGTATTTTGGGAGGCTGCGATATGTTCGTGTTTGTCTCCTTGTGATAGCGCGGAACTGATGCCGACTTTATAGTGCTACCTCACTGAAACATACTGCCGAAGACACCCAGCAGGACGCCCCACCCGGTCACATTATACTGACAACGGGCGAACCAGTCGTCCCACTCCTAATTTGCTGAGCGTTAAGCAGGAGTAGAAACTACCATTTTTAAAGACTTTGGTATGTCTCGGCCAGGGGACAGAACCCAAAGCCTTCCTCACAGGGGCGAACGCTCAACAAATGGCCAAAAGTGAGGCATTGTCAAGGGAGACATTAGGAAGAAGAAAGTTATTTAGAAAGGAGAGAAGAGATAAGGTCCCAAATTTAGTCGCCTCTTACGATCATGCAATTGGGGGCAGCAGGTACAATTCTTACGCCCTACCTGCAGGGACTACAAGTAAACATTAATAGGTATGAAATAGGAAACTTTTTGATTTTTCTCTTTCACTACTCTCTATCTGAATGATTTTTGGATTTGTTTATTTTCTTTACATGGCTTCAATACTCGCCTCAAACAGTCTAGGATTTATGTACATACAGCAAGGTAAATTAAACAAGAGGCCCATGGGCCTTAACGGTGACCTGATAAATTTATACAGAGAGTTGATTTTATTTTTAACATGAACAGAAATATTATTCAAAGTGACAAAAAACAATAAAACCACCTGATTCAATATCTAGCATACAGATTTCAGACTAAAAAGGATTTGAAACTAGCACCTCTGATTCTAAACAAGGAAAATGAAGAAATTTTAGCACACTGACTCCTTTGAGCCCCACCCTACAGCCCTTGGGGGTAGACCTGGCTCAAAATTTTCAAAGTATCAAACTGTCAATTCAAGGTTATAGTTCCAATCAAGTTATTAACATGTAATATTTAAAGTATCATTTGCCATTATAAACCATAATAAATTTTGCGCCCCCCCTCCTTCCCCAGGGGGTTAACGTGAGAACCTAGGGTCATAAACCTTAAGACCCTTCCATCTTTGATTCTACCATATCTGGGTCTTGAGAAGAAGATTTTCGATATTTCAGTAAATTCTACCCTTTTTGGCCCCACCCATCAGCCCCTAGGGGTCAGTCAGGGCTGATATGTGCTTATTATCAAACTGCTACCTAATACTGATAATGCTAACCCAAATTGAATTACTTCCAATGGAAATTAAACAAATGTTGGTCCAAAATGTGATTTCCCTATATAAACTATAGTAAA